TTACTTGTCTTATTCTGTTTCTTTTGTATTCCCTTTTTCGTTTCAGTTGATGTCGATCATCTACGCGTTTGTAATGCTTGCAGTTTTGGTTGCGACGTCCTCGCAGATAGTATTGGAAAGTGAGCAAGTTCAAGTCGGGTTTAGTACTGAAGCTGAAAATCACAAAGTGTTTGATGTGAATAATCCCCTAGAAGGGCAAGAGGTGGTGTAGTGACAAGTGGTGCGCTCACCAACCGCGGTCCTGGTTCAAATCCCGGGTCGACTCCCGCCCAGGCCAACCAAGCCTTCTACCCCCGGGGACGGTAAATTGGTACCAGATTCGTCTGGGAGGATAAAACACTGACTTGTACATCGGCTGGCCCCCGCAAGTCATTGTATAGGCCACATCGCATTCAATAAGCCACTACGATTCTGAATGGAAGTAGAATGCGTGCCGCATCCCACAAAGGGATTGATCAACGGCGAAGACTTTATCCTTTATCTTTAATCCCTTGAAGAGAAACTGTACACTCACATTCCATGATTCTGGCCCTTACCATGTGCGAGATGAATTGGTTCGCAGCTCTAGTAGCGGGCCACATTCTCCGCTCAAATATGCACGAAAGCGGTAGGTAGCGGTACTCGGAAGTCGTCTACGATTCCGCCGCGCTCCTGTCAGTAACACACGTGACCGTAGCCAAACACGCTATCTTGTCTGCGTCCTCTCACTTCTAGTTGTTCTCTACTGTGTGCTTCGCTGTGGAATTTGGGTATCAGCGCAAGTGCCGCACGTTGAGGAAAGCCGGGCGGAGTTGGATGACGGCGCCTCGGAATCACTACCCTTCAGTCCGTTCCCGTGCACTTTTGTGCGAAGAAAATGGTCACAGTACTGCACTTGCGTACCCATTCGCCTCGCACATGGCAGGGACCATCCTCGTAGGGAGTGTACAGTTGAGGGGTGTCAACGCTATCACGCGTGTGATGGGCGGTTTCACACCAGGTGGTTGTCACCGTGTTCACAGAGTCAGATACTCTAGCGAGGCAATCTGGTGACCACAGGGCACGCCATCGCGTTGTGATCATTTCCTGAAAAATACGACCCCCTAATTCCATCCTCAAATACGACCCCCTCCCCATGCTACCTACCACTTTCCTAGATTTTCCCAACTTCCTACCACTTTTTCCATTTTTTCCCGAAAAATTTCCAGTTTTTCAGCCAAGAATTTTCCGTCGAGCGGAGGGGGGGTATATACCCAATGTGAAACAGGAAAATTTCTCAGATTTTCCCTAACCTCCTACCAGTTTTTCCGAAATTTCCCGAAAATTTCTGGTTTTTTCCCCAAAATTTTGCTGTCGAGCGGGGGGAGGGGGAGGTCGTCAGGATTTAACTATCATTTTCAACTATCGGAAATAGTAGTTGTATAGATCTTTGGCAGTCCCTCTCCCAACAACGACCCCCCCCCCCCCCATTGTGATCATCACAGCGATGGTGTGCCCTGGGTGAACAAGCCACTCCTTGTGCGAATTACGATGGAAATCCTGCCTCTAAGACGAGGAGCAGCGGGTAGTTTGAGGGCATCTGCTTAGCTGACTCACTATGGATATCTTTTAATTTACGTGTTCCTTTTGGATTTGAGTTCTTTCTCTTCGAGCAGTTTATTTGTTTCAGCTGTGATCTCTCCAACATCGATGTTCATTG